TTCAAGAGCTTCCGTCTGAGGCATAAACCACAGGCCACATTCGCCCCCGGGTGAAAAGTGAACTTGAGGCCCAGCTTGTCGTTGTGTTTCAAATTAGAAAGGCAACAGGAGCCAAGTACGATGTAGTCTCCTCAGAAACCTGGCTGGTCGGGTCGGGCCCTGGGTCGCTTTGTGTTGACTACACTGGCTCTTACGTCGAGTCCGCGGACCCTAGCGCTACTCCGGGCGCGGCTGGAGAATTCTCTACCCTGGGAGCCGGACTCCTTTCAACTAGTCCGTTAATTGTATGAGAAGACATGGTAGATAACCCAGTACCAAATGCGACGTGTGAGAAACCTGCAGAACGAATGTTCGGAAGCCCGAGGCTCTACGTCACTACTTCCTCTCCCCGCCGCGCTGTCTCTCCCTTAAAGTTAGGACTTTATTTTTCTACTTTCTTACCGGAGTACGACGTATGTCTCTGACATTACATTTCATTTAGCTGATGCTTCTATCTGCACGCCACTTACGGTACGTCCACACGGCAGCGTCGCGTTGAAGCTTGCCGGTGGGCGTGTCTGGCACGAGACCAACAACCAATCACATTAATTACCCGCCCCGGACACACAAGCACGCGGTTTGATTGGCTAGCGCTTGTACTGGCATATGATTTGATTGGCTGGCGCTTCCGTCGACGCTTGAAAAGCTGAACTTGTCTCAACTTTCGAAACGAGCAACGGAGGCAAAGCGACGGAACCACAATGCAGTTCAGCAAAGCGTGACGTCACCCCAATCAAAGGGAATGAGAAGCGTCTCCGTTGAAGCACACAACGCTGCCGTGTGGACGTACAGTTACAATAGGACAACTAAAACGCAAGAGTCCTGCAGTTAGATTAGCTTTCAGTCAAACCAGATCAACTAATTTCCATCACCTAGTTTCCATCTTCATTAGCATCACTTCTGTTCTGTCACATGCTTTTATCATATGGCAATACTTATTATACTTACTTGTTGTTCATAATGTTTTTATAATGTTTGTGCTATGGCATTTGTATGTTGTTTTTGTCTTTGCTTTGGTTTGCTTTGAACAGCCCTTTGAGGCATCTTCTGTGATTTGGGGCTATAATACATTTGGATTTGATTTGATTAACTGCTACTATTAGCTTCAATTTAAGCCAGACCTACAGTGCTATTTACAGAAGAGAGCTTTTATTTTTTATTTTTAGGTCTGCCTGTTTTTTTAAATCAGGGGTGTGAAAGTACCAGGATCGAAAAAAAAATTGGGGGGTTTTCCCTTTCCTGTTGTTTGTTACATAATATTTTGTGCATGTCAATGGTTTGCAAAGGCTTAATCTGTGTGTTCCCCCTATTTTACGTGATAGGCTAGAGGGCGGGACATCTAAGCTGTTGACCAATCACAACAAAGGCAGCCAGCTAACCAATCAGAGCAGGCTGGGCTCTGGTTTCAGACAGAGGGTGAAAAGAGGTGCTGCAGCACAGGCATTATGTGTCAGGGAATAATTTGCCCTGCATGTCCTCCTTCGCCCTCTGACGCAGAGGCCCAGCCTTGGACAGCCGCTATCTCCCTTAAGGAGGGGCTGCCCTAGCAAGTTGTTACCAGTTTATGACCGGGCAACTCTCGGTCAGAGATAGTTATTGTTCTGGGACACCTGGAACACATCCTTCTCGGGTGTAGATGACCCCGAGCCATAACCGACAACTGAAGTTGATTCAGTTTCGTCCGCTGTTTAGTCTCTCTATTGAAGAATGTTGATTACCCTCAGCAAACTAGTTAAACCCTCCTACCAGAGAGGAGACCCCTCAGAATTGATTTGGCATCTCAACCCTGTGGTCAGATCGTGGCTCGTGACATGTCTTGTGAATTCTCCGGCCGAAGCTCCAAATAAACCGTCAGTGTTTGCCATCAAAGCTCCAGCTCTCCTCGTGTCTCTCTGAGTCCTGTTTCCAACTGCTTCTGATCCCTCACAGTATGAATGATTCAGTAACATGACTTCTTGGATTTGTTTTGCTTTTGTTCAGGAGTCTGGTGATCAAATGCTGCAGCTACAGACAGACTCACTGGTGGAGTCATGAAATCAACCGGCTGTCCGACTCCAGCGACTTCCTCAAAGTTCAGCGCTTCGAAGGGTTCGCTCCGCCGCGGGAGGACACGCTCACCAAATGGTCAGATACTTATTCTACCTGAGAACTATAACCATCTATCTTCAGATCTCACCTCATCCTCATGGTTCGTATCTGTAATGGTTTGTGGGTTTTATTTACAGGTTTGTGAATGGAAGCGGCTTCTTCTCAGACCTGGCTGACGCTCTGGAACAAGCCAAGGAGGAAATCTTCATCACAGATTGGTGGTAAGTTTCAGAAAGATCTGGATTTAGTGAAGAAGCATTTACAGAATTGACCATTCGAATACATCATTTGAAAGATTTTGCATTTAAAGATTAAAGCTTAAATTAGGGGATAATGTTTAAATGTCAAGAATAAAGTTCAAATAATGAGAATAATAGTTAGAGTATTGAATATAAAGAACGTAATGGACATTTTGGGAATAAAGTTGAGATTTTAAGAATAATTAAAAAATATAAAAAAGAGGTTGATATATATATATCATATACTGTATATATATATATATACTAAATAATAAACATTTCCAGAAAGAAAAGAAAATTATATTAATATTTTCCACATATCAAAATTTTATTTGTACCTTATTCCAAACATTCCCACTTTTGCTAATTGTCTACATTTCAACTTTACTCTCAAAATGCAAAATATAATAAAAAAATATACAAACAAGATGTCGAGAATAAAGTGCATTATTTTTGGATAAAGACTTCATTTAAAATATGGAAATTCAAGAAAAAAATCTCAAAGACTTAATCATGTTTATACACTAATGCTAAGTAGACAAATTCTCTACATTACAAAATGTTTGTTAAACCTTATTCTCAAAATGCAGAATAAAAACCTTCCTCCTACCTTTTGCAATTTAAGAATATAATGTTTAGGATAAAGTTTAAATTACAGAATTAAGTTAAAATATTGAAAATCAAGTTGAAATGTTGATATAAAAGTCTACTTTGAGTGTCTCTGTTCTCATCCAAATCTTCTCGTCCGTATAACGTGAATGTCTCCTCTGTCAGGCTCAGCCCTGAAGTCTTCCTAAAGAGACCGGCAACTGATAACTTCTGGCGCCTCGATGAGATCCTCAAACGCAAAGCAGTACGGATTCTCTCTGTCTTCCCTGTTAAACCATTTAAATAATCTTCCAATTTCCCTCTATCGTATATATTCTTATATTTGTTCAACCTTTCCTGCAGGAACAAGGAGTCCAAGTGTGTGTTATGCTGTACAAGGAGGTGGAGATGGCTCTGGGCATTAACAGTGAGCACAGCAAGAAGACTCTCATGAATATGCATCCGAACATCAAGGTCAGTCACATCTTCCCATCATGTCAAACACACAATAAACCCATCAGAGACTCTTCTTCCCTCACCACATTCAAAGACTCACTCAAAACTAGGGCTGTCAGACGATTACAATTTTTAATCAGATTAATCACAGCTTAAACATTCATGAATCATGATTAATCACCATTCGAACTATGTCCAAAATATGCCATTTCTTTATGTATATTGTTGTGGGAATGGAAAGCTAAATGAAAGAAGGCGGATATATCCATTTAACATACAGTATGCATGTATGTTTATTATAACATTGTTCTGTGTGTCAAAATGAAAGACAGCCCACACACCTATCAATCATCAAACCGTGGGGTCTTAATTCATTACGTGTTGATTTCTATCAACACGTAATGTTGTATCGATGTATATAGAGATGTGCTACAGCAAAAGTATTCTCCGTCGGGACTTCCTGCAACGACACCACGCCGTTATCTTTTTTCTGATTGGCCAGAAGACATTATCAAAGATGTTCTATTGAGAAGACGATCACTACGTGATAAAAGTTTTCAAAACCGTTTGTAGTCTTCGGTATTTCCAGACAAGTGGCTGCTGAAATCAATCTTACTAACTGCTGTCTGTGCAATTTACTCTGCGCGAGTTGGCGGACTTTATTTTGCTTACTTTAACATCATTTTTCATGGTGGGGCTAAGGTGGGGCTAAGCCATTTCTTGGTATGGCTGTAGCCAACCCAGCGTTGCCACTGGTAGGATGTATGGGCGGGCCATTCTGCACATGCGTTAAA